TAGTTTGTAACTAAATCTACACATTATTTGGTTGCACCAGTTGTTCGTAAGCTCTCCGTTAAATAATGCGTAGTCGCATAACATGACGTTTACCCTAAATCATCCAATAGAAATCTTCAAATACGCGAGCAGAACTTGTTTAAATGCTATGAATTTTAATTTATAAATCCTTCATTCTAACTTCTTCTGCCTCACGTATACTAACGGTAAAAATATAAACAAGTTTCCATTAAAAACGACATATTAATAGCATTAGTCTATATGCAAGCTATTTTTATATGTAAATAACATTCAGAAACTGTAATTGAAATAAATAAGGATCAATAACTACTGAAAGAAAAAAAATCATAAGAAATGCCGATGGGGTGTTGAAGACGCGCTAAAAAGTACATTTATTCACATGTTGTTCTCTCTCTTAATATGTGCGAGTGTAAATGTCAGCAGCATCATATATGCCTAAAGTATTGAAGGTAAAAGAAGAGCATATTGATGCAGTTCACTCAGTCTGCTATTTTATTCCAACCGTTACTCCTGACCAGACGCTTCCGTAAATATTTAGTTTATACGTACACTGTAAAAAATGACGGTAAAATTTAACGGTAAAAGACTGTAAAAATGCTACAGTAAAAACCTGTTAAATGGTTAACGGTAAATTCCCCTACTATATACGGTGAAAAACTGTATTGGACATTACATGTATTGGACATTAATTTTACGGTAGTATACCGTTTTTGGAAGTGAAAAAGACCGTATAATTTAGTTTTACTGTAAAATTCCGGCAACCACAGCTGCCGTTTTTTTACAGTAAATTTTACGGATTTTTTTTACAGTGTAGAGTTACACTTCAACTACTTGTAATGGTGCAAAGGAAAAACATTACGTCAAAACTAGGCTAAGTTGTAACTTCCGTACAGCTGGTGCAACCGGCCCCTGATCACTAGTGTGCATGAAGTGTTCTGAAGTCATTTGATACATTTATATTCACTAAAAAATTACACAAAACTGTTGAGAGCAGCAAGTGTTTGGCATCATTAATAACAGCATTCAACTCTCCAGTAAAGGGCAGTGTGTGACTTAATTGTATATAATGATTATGCATACTTTGAATTAAAAAAAAGATCCCAGCACTTGTATATTTTGGTGTGCTGATACTTCCAAAGTTTCAACAAAGTTGAATGAACGAAATCCAAACCTAAAAGAATCAATAGAGCAATGCACATCACATCAGTTGAATAAAGAGCTTCACGAGTGTCAAGCACAGCAGGATTCATATTTGATCTCTTGTTAAAGACGCTGAATTTCCTACATGGCATTTCTGGGCATTATAATCTCAAAACCTAGTGAGTTGCATTATTTTCTAACTCTCAAAATATGAGCTGATAGAAGTGTCTGATATCAGTGAAGATGTTTTCTTAAACACACTCACACTTAAGACTCATTTATTTCCTATATTGCACATTTAACACATGTTGTCCAAAGAGGCACATTTACAGTATGCATTTCACCAGTCATACACTAGCTGTACTTCTGATCAATACATGTTCACTGGGAATTGCACTGATTGCATGATTAAGTTACAGGAACACAGGTTGATTTCTATTGATATCTACTAATAAAAACACACACAAAGACAAACATACAATGGGAAACTCCTAGCCTACTTCACAACATCATCCTAAACAATATAAAGAAAATATACCTCTAAAAACCACACAATTACAAGAATAAACAACAATAGCAAGCATTGAAAGAGTGAGGAACTAAGTACTATAAAATATTTAAACATCCTGACAGGATTTTTGACCCGGACACCGGGGTTACATCCCTGATCTCAAGAGAAGTGACATGGGATTTTTAATGACCCAAAGAGAGTCCTCAGTTTAACTCATCTGAAGGATGGTAACTATTTACAGTATACTGTCTCCATCTGCTGCAGCGTGATATGGCTGCTTGCTATAATATCACTTACGGTAGATCATGTATTGCACTACTGTATATAGTAAATGGAGAAGAGAGACTCTACGAGTGCAAAATATTATTATATAATATAATACAAAATAAAAATGTATTGCAATAAATACAACATTTTATCACATTATGCAGTTTTACCTCTTTTTAACAGGTCTTTTTTTTGTTTCATAATTATTTAAATAAAACTATAAATGTTAAAATCTGCTAAAACTTTATTAACTGTAACTTAATCTAACAGTTAAAAAAAAAATGGTGTGCTGATACTTCCAAAGTTTCAACAAAGTTGAATGAACGAAATCCAAACCTAAAAGAATCAATAGAGCAATGCACATCACATCAGTTGAATAAAGAGCTTCACGAGTGTCAAGCACAGCAGGATTCATATTTGATCTCTTGTTAAAGATGCTGAATTTCCTACATGGCATTTCTGGGCGTTATAATCTCAAAACCTAGTGAGTTGCATTATTTTCTAACTCTCAAAATATGAGCTGATAGAAGTGTCTGATATCAGTGAAGATGTTTTCTTAAACACACTCACACTTAAGACTCATTTATTTCCTATATTGCACATTTATCACATGTTGTCCAAAGAGGCACATTTACAGTATGCATTTCACCAGTCATACACTAGCTGTACTTCTGATCAATACATGTTCACTGGGAATTGCACTGATTGCATGATTAAGTTACAGGAACACAGGTTGATTTCTATTGATATCTACTAATAAAAACACACACAAAGACAAACATACAATGGGAAACTCCTAGCCTACTTCACAACATCATCCTAAACAATATAAAGAAAATATACCTCTAAAAACCACACAATTACAAGAATAAACAACAATAGCAAGCATTGAAAGAGTGAGGAACTAAGTACTATAAAATATTTAAACATCCTGACAGGATTTTTGACCCGGACACCGGGGTTACATCCCTGATCTCAAGAGAAGTGACATGGGATTTTTAATGACCCAAAGAGAGTCCTCAGTTTAACTCATCTGAAGGATGGTAACTATTTACAGTATACTGTCTCCATCTGCTGCAGCGTGATATGGCTGCTTGCTATAATATCACTTACGGTAGATCATGTATTGCACTACTGTATATAGTAAATGGAGAAGAGAGACTCTACGAGTGCAAAATATTATTATATAATATAATACAAAATAAAAATGTATTGCAATAAATACAACATTTTATCACATTATGCAGTTTTACCTCTTTTTAACAGGTCTTTTTTTTGTTTCATAATTATTTAAATAAAACTATAAATGTTAAAATCTGCTAAAACTTTATTAACTGTAACTTAATCTAACAGTTAAAAAAAAAATCACGAAGTTAACATTGACTTAAAGTTTAGACTCAATATTGTCTGTTTTTCTGTTTCCCCGATGAAAATAGCTCCAAGAAAAGTTGAAGCAGAACATGTGTGTCTCAGAGCAACACTGCTGTCTCCTTCATGAATGAATCTGTTCTTGAACAAATCATTAGAGTCAATGAGTCAATAATCTGATGTAGGCAACCACTTGATTCGATTCTAAATGAATCATTTTTTTTAAAGAATGATTCAATGAATCACTCGTTAAGACAGGGACTTGCTGCCACCTACTGGAAGTTTTCATGCCCTTTTTATTTATCTATAACAGGCCTAAACTAGCCAAGGTACCAGATTAAAAACACACGAAGCAAAACGTTGTTTAATTATAGCTAACCTGAAAAAATAAATCACAAAAATAGACAATTTTTGTGTCAATATCACACATTATGTCCACTGAGCTCATATGCTGATATGGTTAATCCAGTGTCTGATTTTTCTGAAGAATAAAAACGGCCACAGTTTTGAATTAAAGTCAGCAAACAGATTTGAATGTGATTTCCAGGTTTCTACATATTTTGTACAGATGATAGAAGTAACATCTAATACAGCCCATAAGCATTTGCTTGATCTAACTGGAGTCACTGGTGACCTTTCTGTCTTCAGCTGAAATAAAAACTATTTACAGTCATTAAAAACTTTGTTTTAAACACCAATATTAAACAGAAATCTACATTCAAAAATTTTTTTTAACTGTAACTTAATCTAACAGTTAAAAAAAAATCACGAAGTTAACATTGACAAAGTTTAGACTCAATATTGTCTGTTTTTCTGTTTCCCCGATGAAAATAGCTCCAAGAAAAGTTGAAGCAGAACATGTGTGTCTCAGAGCAACACTGCTGTCTCCTTCATGAATGAATCTGTTTTTGAACAAATCATTAGAGTCAATGAGTCAATAATCTGATGTAGGCAACCACTTGATTCGATTCTAAATGAATCATTTTTTTGAAAGAATGATTCAATGAATCACTCGTTAAGACAGGGACTTGCTGCCACCTACTGGAAGTTTTCATGCCCTTTTTATTTATCTATAACAGGCCTAAACTAGCCAAGGTACCAGATTAAAAACACACGAAGCAAAACGTTGTTTAATTATAGCTAACCTGAAAAAATAAATCACAAAAATAGACAATTTTTGTGTCAATATCACACATTATGTCCACTGAGCTCATATGCTGATATGGTTAATCCAGTGTCTGATTTTTCTGAAGAATAAAAACGGCCACAGTTTTGAATTAAAGTCAGCAAACAGATTTGAATGTGATTTCCAGGTTTCTACATATTTTGTACAGATGATAGAAGTAACATCTAATACAGCCCATAAGCATTTGCTTGATCTAACTGGAGTCACTGGTGACCTTTCTGTCTTCAGCTGAAATAAAAACTATTTACAGTCATTAAAAACTTTGTTTTAAACACCAATATTAAACAGAAATCTACATTCAAAATGTAAATCAGTGAAATTATTCATCTTTTGTTGAGGCATCACCGAGAAATGGAGTTGCATCCTAAAACACAGAATAACAGCATTACAATACATAAAAAAAAAAAAAAAATTACATAAATATTGCAACTTTAAACCGTTTGAGTAGTTATATTTCTCTTAAGAATGAAATCTGTGTTATTTTAAGAGAAACTATTAATCTTACTTGGCAACAGCTGGGGATTCTGGGTAACGGTGTTCTGATTGTTGTCTTCTCTCTCAATGGCTGAAAGAAATAATAAATGTTCACAACCTGTCTGTCTAACTAAAAATAGAATAAAAATAAAAATATTTTATAAAAATATTTTAACTCACCAAAATCAGGCAGAGAGGTATTTTTAGAGCCCATTGCACCTAGAAAAAAATAATTTCAGCACACATTTAACACATTTTAACACACTGAGTGAGTGACGATGAAGATAAGTGATGAATTCAGATGTTCTGACCTCGAGCTACTGCACGCCCATACACACATACACACACACACACACACACACACACACACACACTCACACACTCACACTCACACACACACACACTCACACACTCACACTCACACACACACACACTCACACACTCACACTCACACACACACACACTCACACACTCACACTCACACACACACACACTCACACACTCACACTCACACACACACACACTCACACACTCACACTCACACACACACACACTCACACACTCACACACACACTCACACACAGTCATTTTAATATCATCTCACTTTTAGGGTCATGCATACATCCCCAATATACCTGCTGATTTAAACACACTGAGACTTCAGAGACATTAGTGAAGAGAAAAAAAAACAGATCACATTCACACATTTAGAAGTGACTGAAGTGAAGGAACCCTTTCTGTGTTTGTATTAGTGTGTGTTGAATGACAGATTGCGTGACTTACGTCCTTCAGATGGTGCACTCTCTGGTTTTTATCATCTGAATCAGCATTTAAAACAGAAGGCAACCCTGCATGTGTTTCTGGTTCTGAAGATGGAGAGTTGAGAAATAAAACAGGTTGATGGTACAGCTGGTTATTAAACATGGACACAGGGAGGCTGTACAGTGACAGTAAACCAAACATTTTTAAATGCAGTGTGTTTTAATTTGGGCTTTTTAGCAATTCACTCACTTATTTCCTCCAACTGTTCTGGTTCCATTTGTGTTTTACGAAGGGCTAGCAAAAAGGTGAAAGGGCCTTAAGATAACAGTTATCTTAAGGAATTATAAACAACAATGTCGCTCTTGCGTTAAATGTTTCTGGCTTATTGCCTCAAACACAGCACATGTTCCAGCATGACAATACTGAAAAGCACACACACAGACATGGACACAAAGCTTTCAATTTTATAAGTTTGTGAAGGTTTTGGACTCCCAGACACACAGGTTCATGCTGCCCTCTGCTGGTTACAAACAGAACTAATACAGAATCAATGTGCCTCTTTGGAAAAAAGCTCTTGAATAAAGGAAACAGTTCATATACGGTCTGAATTACCGGATTTTCCTCAACAGGTCTGAACATAAGATTTTAAGAGTTAAAGAGTTAACAAGAAGGTAAAGCAACAGAAATGTCACTATCAGATGTAAATGAAATTTCACGCAGTGAGAACTCAGCATCTAGAAACTAAAGGATAAAAACTTGATTTCTGGTACTAAATGTAGGCTGGAAGATGCACTAGTCCTCAACACCTAAGAGACATGCCAGTGAAAAAAAAACTGTTTATTTATTTTAAATTCTAAGAATTATGTAATTTTACTCCTATTCCTAGACTGAAGAATAAGAGTGATTCATAAAGGTTCCTAAGTGTTAAGACTACGTCTCAGCTCCTAAATTATTTAAGAGAGCTGGAGAGGTCTCCTAAGCTAGTTAGGAGTAACAAGACGGCAGCAAAGAGGAGGAGACAAACACTTTCCAGCGAAAATGACATATTGGACTTATATGATAATATGGAGTTGATAAAATGATACAAACGTGATTGTCTTTTTTTTTTTTGTAACTGACAAAGAAATGTAATAACCTCTTCCACTCAACAAGTCAATGCTCTAACTGCAGAAATTAAAGTAGTAATTACATTTTTTTGGCTGGAAAATTGGAAATTTGCAGCAATGCACCGGTGATGACACTGTAAGCAGGGTCTTGCATATTGTAGGACTAACCCCACCAAACACAACAGTGGTCAAAAGTGATGTGTGGATACATTTTTTTTAATGACCCCACATTTCACTTAAACCATTAAAATACAAAAAAAACACTGACCTTATTCCAACAGCTTTCAATTGAAAGTAGCTAAAACTGGTCACTTAATGTAGCTAGATGACCTCATAAAGGGGAGTTCACTGATCTATATTTCTATAGATCAGTGAACTCGCTTTATGACGTTACGGAAGTGTCTTGGAATGTAGATAAGGTTTGTCCAAGAAATTGATTTTGTTGCTAGGCTTTTGGAAAGAAAGAAAAAAAAAACACTAAAGGGATGAGGAAGTCACTAAATCTAGTGACAAAAATCACTAAATTGGCAACATTGGCACACGGACTACAACATACGTTATTTACATTTCATTGGTCCTCTTGTTTTTGTATGACAGCATGGCAAAAATTTATGACCGCAAAATCTGGCATGTTTCATTGTATTATCACAAATACAACAACTGACTAAGCAACTATGCAATAAACCTTTTTTTTTTTTTTTTTTTAAATTAAGGGTGAATCTCAAATTTCCTAGGCCGGACATCACTTTTGGCCACTACTATATGGCAGTTTATTGACTGTCCAACTGACTGCCAAACTATACTGCAAAAACAAGCCACTTTTATGAGGACTGTGGGCTTTCCTGGAGTTGTTGGAGCCATTGAAGGATCTCATGTTCATATCACTGCTCCACCTGTAAACAAGGAGACATACCAATAGAAAAAGCATCAGTAATAATTTTGCACAATGCAAAGCATAAAAAAAAATACATGAATATATTAAAATATTTCAGTGTCTTAATTAAATGATTTTATTGTAGTTACATTAAATGATTGGTGTTGTGCTGCTGTGACTTCACATGAGCAGGCTCACTATTGGCTGATTCAGAGGTTGAGGTAATCCATTTTGTGTTGACATCATTGAAGTCCTTAGTTCACAACACTTAAGCGTCACCTCAGTCAGCACTTAAGTCTTAGACTTTACTGAAAGTTGCTTTTAGCTTCTTTATAAAAATAGTCTCCTACTCTTACTCGTTCTGTGTGTGTCATTGTAGTTTTCAATTCTGGAGTAACAATAAATAAATGTAATGATATTTGTAGACGGTATACGGGCTACTTTACCTGGTCCGTGGACATGGTTTCCAAACAAGGTTTCTTCATTTGGTTCTGTCAGCTTTGGTCAACAAATTCACGTGTATTGGCTGCCCACGGGGAAGCTTACACAGCGACAGTATTTACGACACTGATAACAAACAATTGCACTTATCAACCACATTGGGGAACCGTGAGCAAAAGTTGCATGGTGCTGCTTTAAACATTTTGTCATAATTTCCATGTTTAGATGAACTGATCAATGTTGGTACAGATGCCTGTGCACAGAACAGAGTCTGTGGACTGAATTGATGGCCATAAGCAACTCAGCCAGGTAGAACTGAGCCACGTCCTCCGGGATACGATCACCAAACTTACTCAGCAACATCAGCGGATCTCACAGTAATCCAGTAGCAGATCCTGCAGAGAAGAATAGAGACACTCATAAACCAGAATGAACAGACAGTGTTGTGGAGAAAAGTGTTCGGTCTTGAAAAATAATGCTCAGGACAGTTTACTTACCCAGAAAAACAACAACCTGCCAATCAGTGCAAAAAAGGAGACTTAACTCTAACAGATGAGTTTCTCATCACCAAATTGCCCTGATACCACACATACATCACGGAGACATCTATATTTACATCTGCCAGACTTGTTTTTTTAGAGTGTTTGCTCATCTGCAATACGTCTGTAGGACTGTAACATCTCAAAGACATCTTCTAAACGTCTACTTGACGTCTGATAGGAAACATCCGATAGACACATTGCAGAAAAGCAAACGCTCTAAATACGTCTTGCAGATGTAAATGCAGACCGTGATGTACGTGTGCTGTCAGGGATAAGTACATCATGTAAATGGGAGCAATGGCTCAGAGGAGAGCAAGGCCTAAAATAATAAACAAAGAATTCACTAATTTAAGGAGGAGCTCTAACTAACCTTAAAGAAAATAAATATACCACAAACTTCCCTCACCTCCCTTGCTGTACAAAAACAGGGGTAAAAAGCAGTACTAAAAGAAAAAGGCACTCTCCCCCTACAGCATCCCAGTTAACATACACAATCTAGTGTTTAGAATTTCACAGAACAGAAGAGCCACAATACCTTTTGCTCCATCTCAAACTCAATTAGCCACTGCTAATACACAACTA